TGTGAGCTGAAGGCGGCTGCTATGAGGAAACTGGTGCTCTGCAAGTACCTTTTACCTTAACCGTCACGAGGACAGACTTTGAGCTTTTATAAAGCTGTTTTGTAAAAACATCTACTTTTTAAATGAAAGATGAAGTGTTATTTTATCTATTGGTATTCCTGTTCATCTCTCACCATTTGCTCTCTTCTAGCATGCAACTGCATCTTGAACAAGCTGGTAAGAGCTTTTGCTCTTGACTGGAGCATGCACATAGGGTCAGCCTCAAGGGCTTGAACCAAGCTCATTGCAGTCAATAAAGAGACTTCTGTTGACTCCAGTGGCGCATATGCTCGTGTTGTGACTTTCCGCTACGTAACAGACTAGGAAATGAGGCGTTGTAGCCAGCAGAACATATTAGAATGATTACTTTGGGAAACTTAAGCTCATAAAGAGGGGCAGAGAAACAGAGAACTGAATTCAAAACTGTAGTTTATACCAGAAGTAAAAAGGGTTTTCTAGGAGGCAGGATGTCTTTGGGACAAGAAAATTGAGGCATTCAAAAATAATTTTGTGTGTTATTGTCTTTTTTAATTAAGAAAAGATTTGCAAAAAATTCTACTTAATAGTAATAATAATAAATTTTATGTGCTAGTCTAAACATTGCATGAGTTTTCTCTTGTATGTAATTTCTTCCAGTTTTGGAGATCATTATGAGTGGAACAAGGTGACCTCTTGCATCCATAACATCTTAAGCGGGCAAAGATGGATTGAACACTATGGAGAGATCATCATCAAAAATCTTAACGATGACACTTGTCACTGCAAACTGACTTTCATAAAGGTGACTTCCAGTAACCACAGCAATGTTGGCAGTGCCCTTTCTAACAAGCACAGCAGTAGGTGGATGCTGTCTGCTGAAGCAGAGTACAACTGCTTAAAAGCTGTGTTTTCTTATAGTTCTGCTATAATTACCTCTGATTCTTGTAAGACTTTGCTGAAGGAACTGCAACTCATTCGGCAGAGCCAGGGAAGAAAGTAAAGCAACAGCTTTCTCAGATGATTCCAGTCAAGGTGTAGAATAGTATAAAGAGGAGAAAGGAAGAAATATCATCAAACACCTATATTTGTGTTTGACAAGAGAGATAGGCACAAGGCGTCTACTGGCAGTGGTCCGCTGCATGCCTCCTGCTAACCGATTTGTGAGTGCTGTGGATGCGTTCGTCCCAGCAGCTGTAGAACCAGCTCTTGCACAGATGCTTCACTGACAGGGGAGCCCATGCTCTTTTCTAGCTCTTTTTCTACGTTTTGTTGTGGAAAACATTGCTGCTGTTCAGAACTTCTGCTTTGGTACCAGGCATCAGACGTAACATCCTGAAGAAATTCCCTTGATAACTGAAATTAAAATTACTTTGGCAGTAGATTAAATGACTTCTTCCTCGTAAAAGGAAATCAGCTGGAAACCTAAAATGATGCCAGAATTTTTCACCCGAGACAGTGTTTTGCACAACATACTAGGAGACTTGTTTTAATCCAAGTTTTCCAAGTCTGACTGCTGGGACAAAGCTATGCTTGTCATAGCTTGTCTCTCTCTACTTTCTAGCAATCATTGAAGTTTGTTTGTTTGGTTGGTTTTTTTTTAATCCAAATACTAAGCTGCAAGTACTGTAATGTCTTTATAGAGTTGCAATGGATGTTTGGAGCTCAAATTTTAAAGAATGAGAGACTGTAGATACTTACACCTTTGATATTATAAATTGACTAAAGTGCAGTTTACTTTGAGTATCTGTTCCTTCTCAGCTGTTCTTCTTCCTCTTCTTCAAATCTGGGAGAATGTGGATAAACAAGTCAAGAATTGGCGTTTCCTGTCACTGGGCAAAATTGAAAGTCAGCTATGCTTCATCCAGTACTGCCCCTAAAAAAGGCAAACAAAATAGATACGTTTCTCAACATTAGTATTTTAATGAGCTGATTAATAATACTCAGAGCAGTTCTCTGTAAATGGTACTGTAATTCACACTTACAGGAGTAGTTTTCATTTCAAAAACACAGGCTACAACAAGGTGCTACACGCATGGTAAAATCATTTGCACTTAGTCCTATGTACCTTTTTTCTCTTGTTCTTTTTAATTCTAGGCAAAATATTGGAATCCAAATGCACATGAGATTGAAGGCAGTGTCATGGATAAAACTGGGAAAGTTGTGCATCGACTTTTTGGGAAATGGCATGACAGTTTATACTGTGGGACTTCATCCTCTTCAAACTGCATATGGAGAGCAAGTTAGTGGTCAGAACGGTTGAATGTGAAGTGGTCAGAATTTTAAATCTACTTGAGAATAAACTTGCTATCTGTTTTCATCTTATTTATTAGGCTTCAATTTCTTATTTTCTCTATGTGGAAAAATGTATTAAATGCTTGACAAAAATCTGTAGGCCAAAAGAATAAATCATTTAACTTAATATTGAGATAACTTCATCCCATGACTCTGCGTTTTCCCCATTCTCCCTTGGTTGGGGGTATAGTTTTCACGTTTGCATGTGAAGGGTGTATTGAGGACTCCACAAATGGAAGGGGGGGGACACTTTATTTGTAAAGAACTGCAGTTGATTTCTTGTATTAAACATTGGGGGATAGCCCCCAAAGCTCAACTGTGTAATGTGAGCCATATGTGAACTTCACTCAAACCCTTGGGGGTTTGTGTCTACTGTAGTTTGGAAAGCACTGGGGTAGTACCATGTACCTTGTCATAGTTTCTCTTTGGCTCAAAGAGAGGACAGAAATCTGTTTGGATGCAGTTTCTCAGAGATTTTCTCTTTTGTCACAACACAAGTAAGTATCTCTTATTCCCCCAAAATTGAGATGAAGAGATGAAGAAATGACGGAGGGGAAGTTTAGAAGGTTCCTTCTAAAGACGAAAGCATTTAATTGGAATTCTGAATGTACTTTTCTCTTGTAGATCCAATGCCTAAAGATCATGAACAGTGGTATGGATTTACTCAGTTTGCATTGGAGTTAAATGAACTGGACCCGCAAACTAGACCGTTGCTACCGTCCACTGATACACGTTTTAGGCCAGACCAAAGGTAAGAAGTTTTCCTTCTTAAGCATCAATATTTTCTTAAGCCTCAACTATTTTTTTTTTAAAAATTCTGTGCACTCACTTTACCTCCAGCTCAGACTATCTTGAGTAGATACTTGCAGTGTGTTTCCATTTCTATATTCATACGCATCTGAAAAAGACATTTTAATCACTTACCAAGAGCTGGCTTACTCCTTATGGATCGATATTGTCAAGAACAGGTTTTTGGATGTTTCATTTTCTGGACAACAAATGCATTTTAAAAGGTGCTAAATCTTTTCAGATACTGGCTGTCCAGCATACTGTTTGAGTTGCCAGAAACTGAGGCATATGAAACTCCTTTTTACAGTAGAATTTCCACTGTTTCTAACTTCAGAGGAAAAGAATCTAATAGCAAGCTCAAAGTAATTTTTATATGTGAGTTGTTGTCTGCAGGTGTAGTTACTTACTTTTCGAATACTATGAGTTACCTGCCGTAAAGGCTAGATTCTAGAGAGCTCGGGGGACCTGACAAAGATGGGGGACAGGAGCACCAATCATATCTTTTATCACTGCTGGTGCTACAGGTTTCTAGAGGAAGGAAATATCGAAGGAGCTGAAATGCAAAAGCAGAGGATTGAGCAACTGCAGAGAGAACGACGGAAGGTTCTGGAAGAAAATAATCTGGAGCATCAGCCTAGATTTTTCAGGTATTATATAATGATTAGCATCTACCGTCATGTATTTAAATTTGTATTATGCTTCTGGTTCTAAACTGTCACAGAGTAGGCTCCAACTTTTTTTCCAGGTTTCTTTTACATTCTTGTTTTTTTGTACCTTGGCAATGTAAACACTTCAAACTTAGTTAAAACTAAGGATTATATATTGCCTTTTTACTAGTGCATCCCTAAATTTCTTTTTAACTTTTGCCTTGAAGGCAAATGGTGTTTGTTCTAAGGTTGAATTAGCCTTGGCATATGCAAATATAGCATCTTTCCTTCAGGCAAGGTGAAGGGGATGGATTTGGCTTAATCACCTTTGCTGAAGTCCCACTGAATTCTGTGGGATTGCCTTGTGCAGCAGTTTGCAGAGTTGCAGCCTTTCAATTCCAGGGCTGCTGTTTTTGAACATGTTCCCCCTATGTAAGGAGGAGAGAATTATGATTTAGAGGACACTGTATTTCTTCCTGTTATAAATCAAATAACATTTGAAGAGGGCTTCAACCATCAAAAGGTAAAAGTGAATGCTACTGAGCACATTGGGTTTTAGCCCTTCAACTTCTCTGTTTGGGATCCAGTGAGAGAGCAGGAGACAAGATAAATGGGTTTGTGTATTGCAGTTAACAGATCTGGGGTTCTACTTTTTTCTGGGTAGATAGATACTGTGCTTTTGAGGAGCAAGATTTTGAGAAACACAGAAATGTTTAAAATTGGTGCAAAAAGGAAATAGCTCAGAACCACTCATCTAGTACTTCCTTTTGCTTTGTGCCCCTTCAAAAAGTAAAAAGCTCACTATAAATTTGTATCAAGACCAGGGAGCAGCTCAAGCATTTAAGGTGCGTGAGGAGCTGGTGAGCTAACTGACCACAGCTACTAAAGAGAAGCAAACTTCACTTTCAGCAGACTAAAAAGACAGGTTAGAAGCAAAGCCTGATACTATATAATTCTATATTCACAGTAAGGATAGAAGGATGCTCTTTGAAAAGTGAGATTTGTGCCATAGATTTAAATAATAGAATAAACACTTCCAGTTAAGCGGAAGTATTACCCAGTGCTAGAGTAGATACGCATTATACATTTTCCTTTTGATTAGAGACTTCTCTCTTCTACAAATCATAAGCTTGATATACTTAAAAGAATAATTTGCTGTTGTGCCAAAAATGTGGCACACCGGATTAAAAGTGGACTGTTTCCTTCAGGGTAGAGTACCTTGTGCAATGAGCCCTGCTCCTTTACCAAGAACTATAAGGCTTTCTTTATGCAATGAATGTGATGAGTCATCTTGCGAGAGGAAGAAGACGACTTTTGGATTTGGTCTCAATCAGGACAGAAACACAGATCGTTCAGATTCAAAAAGGCACAGGAACACTGTTCTTACAGAAGTTTCCAGTAAACTGCCTGTGGACATTTGAGACCCAGAAAAGCACTTCTGACTGTAGTTTTAAGTACAAAGCACTGACAAGTCAAAGTGAGTGTTTATCTCTGCTGAACACTAGGCTAGTGAGGTCCCTCGCCAAGGCCCAGTGGAGACGTAACCAGTTCGGTCCTCCAAGCTGTATTGCCTCCTCTGAACGTGGTACTGAGCTGCGCTATGCCTGGTTCAAGGGCTAGTTGTGCATCTCTGCACAGTGTGGTATTGTGTTAATAGCACGTGCAAAGAAAATACCAGCATTACATTTGGGAAACTTGTTTAATCTTTGATAGGAAATCCAAAGATGACTCCTGGGTGAGCAATGGAACCTACATGGACCTTAGAAAAGAACCTGGTTTTTCCAAACTGGACAATCCTGTCCTCTGGTGAAGGAGGAGCCGAGCGAAGATACTCTGTGCTGTATTCCCAGATCTGACTTAAAAGAAGTATATCTAAAACTATATATATACACACACACATATAATATATGTGTGGGGTGTGTGTGTGTGTGTGCGCAAGTGTGTGTATCTCCAGAATTGTGCTTAATTTAGAATCTGATACTGCATTTGTTTTCTCTACTCTGACTATTGCAATGATTATTTGAATGTATAAATACCCTAACTTCTTTTTATAAACTATTTAATAAATATTACTGAATGTTGATGACTGGAGGGGAGAAGAGGAGCTTTTACACTACTTTTTCCAATGTGTAATAATGTCAGTTCTGAGTTAACTTATGCCTTATTGAACTGCACTGAAGACAACAACATCAGCATCTCCTAGCTGTGCTGAGAGAAAGGGGACTGGAAGCCTTAGTAACACAAACTGCAAGCAGGCTACCACAGTTCAAAGAGTAGTGCAGCTGTCTCTGGGCTAGTCAAAATTGCTGAAACAGATTTTCAGTTGGTGCTGGAATCTGAATACAATCCTTTGTTGCCTGTGGAAAAGATTTAAATAAGCTTTTGTTTTTATTAGCTTTCTTACTAGCATAATGGAAGAGGTAGTTCTGAGCTAATTACGTCAGTGATTCTACTGCCTTATACATGAACTGTACCCAGCGAAATGTAGTGCTAGAAGTTCAGGAATCGCCAAAATTTTCCTCTAGGAATCTTCAGATTTATAGCCCCCAACAGGGCCAGAGGAGCAGAGCTTTTCTTACATAATGCTTGAGCACTGAATAGAGGAAGAAGCTCTCTCTTTTTTTTCCCCAGTAAGTAAAATCTATACCGAGCACAAAATCCTGTGCTTCCATAGCTTCATTTGTTTTTATTAAACTAAAAATTGCAGCAGTAAGACTCTTTAAAGACTACGCAAACTAATTGTTTTAAGCTAGACCTTTTTTCCTAGTATTTTGATATTTTCTACCTCTTAAGAAAGGAATAGCATATTCAAGATCTTATATTAAAAAATGACCATCTGCCTTATAGATAAATGTATGGAATCTTTGATCTTCCTCTGTTACAGTCAGATAAATATTCAGCTGTCTTGCACTAAATTAGTTGCATCTCTTTCCTGTAATTTTATACATATGGATAGATTTGTGAAATACTAAACAATAGGTCAAAAATATAGCAGGAAACAGATGTAGCAAAAGTCGCACTTTTGAATGAAGATAATGGAGATGGGCAGTGTTCTTGTTTTTAATTCCGACAGCAACGCTACAGTCATTCACATAATAGAATAATATACGTTCCTGCCTATCTGCAACTCAAGCCTAGCTCATGCTGCTTCAAGTCTGCTGTGTGTGTCTGTGACTCTCTGGCAACAACATAGTTTTCAAGTTAAAAAATATATAAATATATATCCTGTCACCAGCACCAACAACCACCCCTTTTGTTTTTCTTACATGTATCATGCCACATTAATAATATAAAATAAACCTTACCTGTGATAAATGTTGTTGCCTTGTTTAACTGGCTTGTGACTGGAATAATGGGACAATGTATGGATAAGGGAGCCTCCTAGAGGAATTAGTAGCTTAGAGAAGTTCACAATTTATAATGTGCTGCACTGTTCTAAAGAAAACCCATTTAAAAATTAATCCATGTATTATATGTAACACGTAAGAAATACTATGAATGCTTTCATTTTAAAACAAAGCTGAGATGTTAGATTAGATGCATGTAGTTGCATTTTGCTTCCTGTCACCTTGAAACTCCATTGTCTCAGAAGCAGACAATTGCTTTGTCACCTTTATTTGCTTTGCCCAGGAATTCTGCATCACTCGCTTCTGTAATTTATTACTAAAAAAGTTAACATAATTCTTTAATTTGTCTTTTAAAAACTCAACTAGGAGGCCTGCAACTTACAGTGATGTAGGGTTCAAGTCAATGCGAAGACAAAATTTGGGCTTGGACCCCAAAAGAAAGCTGAACCTTTAGGTCTGTTTGGCTTTCTGGGGAAAGTGGCAATCTCTTCATAGCTTGATTCCTTGTTGTGTTTTGTTCTTGTATTAACTATCAAAACTTGGCACAGACATAAGCTGATATTTGTAATTATCCTTGCTGTTGGTAATTACCTTTTAAACTCCAAAATAACATTCACTTAGCAACAGGAGAGGGTAGGAGGGGGGATTAAAAAAAAAAAAAAAACTTTTAAGAAAGGGAGTAAAATTTGTGGAGTAATACAGGATGTGTTAAATTTACTCTTGGTCTTATTTGGCAGCTATTATTATTGTCAGATCTGACAGCTGTTTTATTATTTTCAATGTATGAAGTAGATTTCCTCATACATTTTGTTACATGACCTAATAGTTAATGGCATCCAAAATTAAAGGGTCAGAGGCAAAAATGCAAACTAAAGAATTGTAATGCATTAAAATCTGCAGATATTAAACTAATCTTACTATTTTGGGTGTTCTAGTCATGATTTTTGAGCACTCAGGCTGGCAATGTTGCCTTGTATCTTACAGTCTAAGTTTCTTAAATGCATTTAAGTAATGACAAGAAGCATTGAGCTGGGAAGGGCCTTATATAAACTGTTTTGTTTGGCAACATTCACAGATGACGAAGGTGAACTGTTCAGGATTTTACTGTTATCCCCAGTGAAGTAATGCCTCAGAAGAATCGAGGGTATTTCTTAGATACCTGAAGCAAAATCATTGCAGAAGTAATAGCTCCTTTTGTAAATCTGTGCTACACAACTGCCAACCCGGTATAACCAGTTGTGAATGATCCTCTGACCCCACATTTCCAGCTCCAGTATATATGTCCTTGGTTAATTTTGTGTGAAAGAGTTTTAGCTGTTAAACTTCTGTCAACATTACGTTAAGAAGTAGAAGAAAATTGTCTTGATGTGTTTTCTGAATGATGAATATATTTGTGTCGGAGAACAACGGGAGACAAGCACATCCGGTGATGATCAACAAGTCTCAGTTTATTTAGAAATATCTTATTACTTATATAACAGAGTTAATTAGCTCATACATATTGCAAAAGCCAAGCTCCTTATAGGTGGATACAGTAGAAGGCTATAGTGGATACAGTAGAAGGCTATGCACTTTTCCCAAGACATTGTTATCTATATCCTTTTCTGGTTTCTAAACCAAGAGCCTGTTTCTATTTCTTGTTGCACATTTTTCTATCCTAGATTGTAACGTTCCGTGCCCTGCCAACGTGTCCAGCTGCACTTAAGCAGGTCTTGCGATCTTGTTCTCATGACCCTTGTCACATAGCCAGCATTCAATAATATCCTCCACACTTCCCCCGTCTTCTTTTAATAAAAACAAATTATTTTGTGTTTTATGGATCATGCGTATAACTATATTCTGTAGATAGGCTACAAAACAGGGTAAAAACAATATAATCAACAAAACCATCAATCCTATACCTATTGCGTACATAATCATGGTCTTAAGCCAGGGACCAATACCGAGAGATGATAGCCAGGTATCAAGCGGGTTAGTTACAACAGTAATATCCTTAGTATGATCCTTAAGCCATTGCAATTGTTTGTGAATTGATTCTGAATTAGAGGAGAGATTAAAACAACACACATACCTTCAAAATTTTCACAGCCATGTCCCTGAGCCAATAATAAAAAATCAATAGCGGCTCTATTTTGAAGGTATTTGATGTGTGAGATTTTCCATGTCCTGTGCTAGTTCATTCAATATCTGTGTTGTTACGTTTGATTGCTTAACCATCCAGCATGCTAGTGTATTTATAGTACGAAGCGCATGAGCAGCACCTACCCCTGGAACAATTGATGCAAAAAAGTTAGCCGTGGGTCCCCAGAGTTCTACTTGATCACTACAGTCGGGTGTGAGGGTTGCTACAGCTCGCTTATCACGATGTGTCTTATTAAAAAGGAATTGTGATATTACAGTAACATTTGGTGCGAAAAGAGTCAATTTTCCCAGATAACATGGACCACCACGAGCATGCCTAGGTATTCCTTGCCATGCTCGATCACCGCAAATCAAATAGGTGTTGCCAGGCAATGCCTTTGCACTGTCATTAGCCCAAATCTTTGTGTCATTTTTCCCCCCAACCATAGGTTCTATAATCGCCACACATATATGTTTCGTTCCAAAAGGGATAGCTCCTGGGTGTAAGCCATAATGCAGGATCATTGACATTTTGCTTATAATCACCCAGTTCAACACATCCTGATTCATTTGCTGAACTATTCAACATTCTGCTACCTAAAAAGCCCGATTTCTTGAGGATCCCAGGGTAATGTTTTGTTTAATGCAGCTAATAATTTGGCTGTCCATTTACTGCTGTCATCTAACCTATTGCATGTGGCAGTGGATAGCTTTGAAAAATCAGTTGTATTATATCCGGGTATTCCAACCAAACATGTACGAAAAGGATCAGTAGCAGAAGCCAATGCTAAGCAAAAGGAAGTAGTATGCGTTTTGTTAGCCCATGTTACCCATAAGTTTGGTGGAGAATTGAGATACATAGCAAAAACGGTATTATACACAAATAAGATGCAGTAGATCCAGGACCACACGATCGCAGTAATATTGGATCAGCTCTTCTTCAATCACCGTGCCTTTCTGTTGACTCCGTGGAACTTTGGGGATCAAGTACAGGTCTTGCCCATCTTGCAGGTATCCAAAGAGGTCCTGTAGGGGCAGAAACACAAAGATAGCCCCTCCCCCAAAATAAGACCTTTGCAGGTGTTTGCCGTACTCCTGTCTTAGGGTCCTTATACCGTACCCATATGGTACTAGTATCTTGACATTCAGATGAAGAGCTAGTATGTACAACTACGGGTGGATACTTTGCATCTCCAAAAACACACAAATGGTTAATTACGAATAAGGTTTTCAACAATCTTGAATGCGGATCAGCGATCTCTGCATGATGTGCCAAATGCTGTTTTAGGGTACCATGTGCCCGTTCCACTATAGCTTGTCCTGTGGGGGAGTGAGGAATTCCCGTGACATGTCTTACTCCCCATGTCTTCAAAAATCTATCCATCCTGTGGCTAGTATAAGC